CTCGGGTAGCACTCGATACAAAATACATCTTGAAAGTACCCGCTGCTTCACCTGGCCAGCCGACCCCCGCAGGCTCAGTGGTCGAGTGGTTAAGACGTCTGCATTAGTAAGCAGGAGGTCGTGGGTTCGAGTCCCACCCGAGTAAGCTTGAGACTTTTTTCGCAAGCTCTCGGACAAGCACTGAGCATACAGTGGTTATTAATATATACGTTGGGTAAGGGCAAAACCCGTTATATAAATCAACTTAAAACAGTTAAATATTACAACATAATCTTCAATGCAACGCCCTAAAAAAGTAAAACGTATCACTAGAAGTGGCGTCGCCAGGCTCGGGGGGGGGGCTATAAGAGGACAACAAGAATCCCCTAACTTCCCTTCACTGCGTTTGTATATCGGACAGCTCTTCCAAGAACCTTGTTCAAACTGGGCCTAAGTTTCAAGTTCAACAGTAAGATTTGGGGTGATAAAAAGCCTAAAAAACTAAATGTGCGCCAAATTTAGAGACCATGCGAAATAATTGACGCTGTTTTCCCATAGTTGGTTTTCATGGTAATCAAGGGCATTTTCTTAATTAAAGGCGTATTCATGAACATTGAACATGTCAAGTTCAGTTAAGATCCATTACGGTTTAACTTATGGCGAATTGTTTGCCCCTTGGGCAACCCTGGTGCTCAGAAATAGGCGCATTCAAATGGAATTTCGAAAAGTGGCCTCCTTAGAGAGTGTTACCCTGAAATTTTTCTGGTAACTTTTTTTTTGTAGATATACCAAGGATCAAAACGTTCTGGCGGATATGGGTGCATTGAATCCGTCTCCTCTCAGCCTATACTACGGACTGTTATTCAAACTGACCGTCTTTGGTACAAGGGAAAAAATCTACGATGGCACATTTAGCCCACATCTTTCTCCGGGCATACTGCCTTAACTTGTGTACCACATCCAGTAGCGTAAATTTGTTCCAGAAATTTGGGGGATGGGGATTCGTGTGCGTGTGAGTTTGTTTCTGCATTCAATTGGGGACCTTGAACAATAGAGGACAATAAGGTCCCCGATTGACAGAGGGTCCCCGATTGACAACTGTGTACAAAACATATCGGTAGTCTTCTAAAAAAGTACAAACAAAAGAGGAACAATAGGGGGTCCCCAGTTGCAGGCAAATACACACTTGTATGTGGGGGTGTGTGGGGGGGTGACTTCTTGCCCGGCCATGGAGCTTTTTGAAAAGCGGGGGGGGGGGGATGACATTATAACCTATGTAATGATGTATTACATTCAAGCAGAATCTACATCGGAGTGGCATATCTGTGGCTCTTTAAAAACACTGTATTCCCTTTTCGAGTCGCTGGGAAGTCCGAAAAAGTCTTCGACCCCCCCCCCAATTTTTTGCTCACCACGAAAAAGTTCGTGGGGGGATGAGCAATTGCCCATCCTCCTTCCAATCCCCTGGGATTTACGCCCATGACAAAATCCCGGGCGTTTACGTCAAAGTCAGGATCTCCCAAACCTTTCACCTCTCTGCCGTAGTAGTACATACCCAGATGGAAAGATGCACGTCCCCCCTGTCCTCAACGAATAACGTATTAAAATACTGTTTTTGTTTGTCTTTGTGTTAGACCCTCCCTGTTTTATACCAGTTGTACTTGTGACAAAATAAATCATGGCCATCTCCCTTTTTCAACACAAATTTAACAACACGACAAAGTGCATGTAGTGTAATCGATGCTAGCGACATAAACTGCGTTTACAAGTAAGTTCCAGGTTGCATTATGCAATACGCCGAATACTGTCCCCGAAATGGGTGCGTGCAGCGGCTAGAAATGTGCCGGCGTGGCCGGGGTCACGAATGACTGTGCACGTGCCTGCAACTCCGCAAGCCTAGTGGCCTTAGTGTATGGGCAGGGCCAGGCAGCCCCTGCACCCCTTCAATTTCGTGGTCACTCCTCCCGGCCCCCCTGCGCAGCTGCCATACGATCAGGATAACAGTCCTGCTGGACGGCTGATTCCCTATTCCTCTGTGGGTGGAAGAGTTCGAACCGCCGAAGTTTCGGTATCATTTCGAACTGTGACCGTGGATTTGTCCAGAATTTATAAATAGCCCCTCGCGCCACCCAAATCAAAAAATCAGGTCTGGACTTGACACCTGGCTGACGATTTGCCATCAAACTGTATGAAAAGTAGCGCCCTCACAATTTGCATTGGAAAATAATGTTGTTGACGATTTGACCATTTTTCCGTATCTTGGACCCTGCCGCTTGAACAAAGCAGTTCCTATTTTCAAAAGAAGGGCTTGATTTTAAACGTGTTGGAAAGAAAAACACTCAGAAAAGATAAAAAAGGTGGCAAGTGAGGTTTAATTCTCGAAATCCCCAATTAACCGAAATAGAAATTTCTAAATAAAGCGGATTGATATTGCTGTTGCTCCTCCCACTTAAGACACGTGGGTCCTGCGCGTGGCATTGAGCAGACGCCATATTGCATGAAATTCTACTGTAAAGTGGTGGAGACGATAGCCAAAAATTCTTCAGAATGAGTGATGACGAGCCCGATGTTGGGTTGGAAAGCGATGTAAGCAATAATGATTATATACTTTATTGGGATATGTTTGTTAAGTCACATTATTGCCGTACAGGTTGTTATTAATCGCTCTAGAAGTCGATCGTAGGGTTCATAAACACCATCAAGTGGGACGGGCCTCACGCGTCATGTGTGTTTACATGTTGACAGTCGAGTCACGCATTGCATTGGTATGTGCACCAAGGGTTATTATGCGTAATGCACGTAGCATTGGCCTGGTTCCCCTTGCAGTGCGTTATGCATCGCAGCTGTTCTGTTATTTACGTGTGCATGAACCGACCGGTCAACACATGGGTTGGGTTTGACTTGGCCTTGGCTGGTTGCGTCGCCCAGTATCTAAACATCGACTTCTCTGAATCCCCTAGCATGCCTAGTATGCCTAGTTTGAAAGACCGGTGTTTTACAATTAATTTTATTTCTATAAATTGTGTAAGCTTGCAGCAGTGACTTTAGTAAATTAATTACTGGCCCGTGAATTACATGTACTAGTACCCCATGGTTGAACCCGGCCAAGTTTCAACTTTCATGCAAATGCATGTCAGAACCTGCCTGGTCATAGGCTTGTTGCCTGCTCCTTACGGGTGCAGACCACTAATTCAAGTGAGAATTTTGACCAGCTCATTAGCATTAAAAGTGCCCCTGCAGTATCTTTTGAAAAGGAGATTGTTTGGCCCCCAAAATGGTGAGATTGTGTAAATCATTGCCAGGATCAACTCCCTGGGTCTTTGAGCTTTCATATGAGGGCAGAAGGGCTAAAAACTACAGTTGAAAAATGGTCCTAAGTGCCCAAGAAAGTTGAGGGTTGCCACTTAAAAAAGGGCTGCAATCAGACTTCCGAAAAATCACTTTTTGGGGGTGATTTTGTTTTGTGGGAATAATTAAAAATGTAATTGGTTAACCCCCCAAA